GATTGGTATATCAATGACAAGCCTACTTAGACAATGTGTCTATATTTTCTCTCGGCTAAGCCATTTTGTTTTAGTGTGTAAGGACAAGAAACTCTTGACTTAATGCCAAGTTATGAGAGAATAGGCTGAAGGGACTGAAATTCTCCTCCACCATCACATTGAAAATGCTTGATAGTGCTGTGAAAATGTGTTTTAATGAGGGATGTAAGATGCAGAAAGGCATTCTTGGTGTCTGATTTGTTTTTCAACAAGTAAAACCATACAAATCTAGTTGCTTGGTCAATAAAACTCACATAATACTTATATCCTTTATGGAAAGTGATTGGTGCTGGGCCCCAAAGGTCTGAGTGAATAATCTCAAATGGTTTGCATGCATGCATTTCAGAAAGAGAGAAGGGTAACTTATGAAATTTAGATTGCATACACACAGTGCAAAACAAAGTTCTTTTATTATCAAGGAATGACACATTACATTGTTGCAAAGTAGCTTTTACAACTTCATAAGAGGGGTGTCCTAGTCTATTGTGCCAAACTTCTAAGGAAATAGGTGTCTTCATGACTGCTGCATAGCAACTTGATTGAAAAGCAGTTGAAATTGGTTCAGTAGATTGGGAAGTGAACTGAGGGGAGGTGTCTGTGGTATTTGTGAGCTAAAAACAGTAAAGGCCATCCTTAATAGTTCCTTGAAGCAAAGTTGTTCTTGTCTTGAGGTCCTTCACATAACACAAATGAAGGTGAAATTCAAAAAGAACATGGTTATCTTTGGCAAACTGTGAAACACTCAACAAATTCTTAGTGACCTGAGGGTTATGCATAAGATTGTTTAGCAGAAATATGTTGGATGTGTTTGAGGAAGGACCAGTCATCATTGATGTACCAATATGTACAATGGCCATACCTGATCCACTAGTTGTCTGCATTCTTTCATTCCCTTGATATTTTGAAGATATGCTCAAGTTTGACATGTCATTAGTCAAATGGTGTGTTGCTCCTGAATCTGGAAACCATAGAAGGTCCTGAGATCCATAAGAGGATTGGTTTCCAAAGCTTGCCACATTTGCAGATAGATTTCCCTCTGAGGTGTTAGAGTTGTTCTGAGATCTGGGAATGAACTGAGCATCAAACCTATAGTAGCATTTGTCTGCTGTGTGGTTGTTGTAACCACATATCTGGCATCTTGCTCTATTTTGTCCTGAGAAACCTCTACCCCCTCTTCCTCTATATTCTCTATTTGAACCTCTTCCTTTGTGGGCCTGATTTGATCTTCCTCTAGAGGCATTCATGCCTCATCCTCTTGGAAAATAAGTGGTCATGTTAGCACTACCAGTAGTATTAGTAGCCATGTTTGCAGCAAGATAGGATCCATCTGAATCATTTCCCTTTTTCCATTGCCTCTAGCCTGCTTTCAAAGCTTAAAAGAATGGAGTAGGCTTCCATCATGGAGATTATGTCAGGTCTAGAGGTTAGGCTTACCACAACTGGATTATAATCTGACCCAAGCCCAGCTAAAAGGTACAATATCTGGTCATTATCATCTATTCTCTGTCCAGCAGCAGCTAAAAGATCACAAACACCTTTGACCTTGCTAAAATATTCTCTCATTTTCATAGTTCCTTTCTTGATGGTCTGCAGTTCAAGCTTAAGCTGCATTTGTTTGGCCAAGCTGTGACTTGCAAAACCAGATCTGAGTGATTCCCAGATTTGTCTTGATGTGCTTAATCCAACCGTGGTGATCAAGATATTTTCTGACAGAGAGGTTATTAACCAAGATGCAATGAGCTGGTCTTGCTTGACCCAAGTGAGATAAGATTTGTTTACCATAGAGTCTCCTGTGTCTGGATCTGTGGTTATCTTTTCAGGTTCTTCAATCTCTCCTGTAAGAAAACCAAGCAAGCCATAGCCTCGAAGTGTGGTGACTAGTTGTTGTTCCCATATGAGAAAGTTGTTGTCACTCAGTTTCACAGAAAAGAGTTGGCTTTGTAGGTGAATGGTGGTTTCATTTTGAGCTGAGGTAGAGGCCATGATGAAGAAGAAATAACAAAAAACGAGGAAAAGAAAAGATGGATCTGAGCTTAACCAAGATGGCTAGCTCTGATACCATAAAAGGAAATCAGAAAAATAAGGTAACATAAAGATGAAATGAGACATTTTCTTCATTGATGATAAACTCGATTTTTTATCCTTTTACAAGCAGCTTTCTGTCATGTCTCACTCAACAAGAACTAAGGAAATGTATTTATACAATCAATGCACTACTCAGCACCACAGGATGCTTTACACGTGCCAACTCTCCTCTGCAAGCCATTGGATGATCTTGCAAGCTTTTAGGGTTAGTCTTCTTGTCTTTTAGCTCAAGCAAATTTCTGTTGCCTTTTTCTTTTCCTTGTACCATGTATGACTGTTTGTTGTCCAAATCATCTTCCACGTGTGAATGCAAAGCTGCATGGCTCTCAACAGAATATACTTTGTCTTTTTTTTTTCTTTTCTTTTTTCGAACTCAATGTTTTATATTTATTCTCTATTTTAAAAGCATATTTCTAGGCTAAATTTATCTTAGATTCCATAATTTGTTAGTACTCGAATTGATTTATGATTTAGTTTTTATTTCTTTCATTACAGTTTATCTTTCGTTATGAATTTCTTTTGCGTATATTTATCGTGTGACTAGATGTCCACTATGAATGCATATTTGTGATTGATTTGAGACCGAGAAAAGATAATTGATTGCTAGAATTAAGAAATTTATAACGTAAGAAAATAAACATACCGAGAGGTTGTAGGACCTTGTGAGAGAACGAAAATCCTAGGAACTTATGGGAGTTAGTTGTTCATCTTGAGACCGAGAGGAGACATATAACAATTAATATCTACGATTTACTTGTTCGAGATAAAGATTGACATCAATTTAGCGATTATCTCTACGATTGGTAAAATTAAATAAGATTTATATGAATATAAACGTTTCATGAATTAATTCCGAGGAACGCTTAGCCTAGAATCTATCTTTTGTATCTTATTTTATTTTTATTTTATTAGGTAAATTAGTTCTTAATTTAAGTTTTTAGTTTATAATCACCATCTCGGTTCGTTAGTCTAAATAATATTTAATCGTCATTATTTTATTAGTACTTAATTAATGTAACTACAATCTCTGTGGAATATTCATCACTTCCTATAGCTACGACGTACACTTACG